CTATATATATATATATATATATATATGTATGTGTATGTGTATGTGTATGTGCATGTGTATGTATATGTATATGTATACACACATGCATACTAAAAGTCTTGACGCCTAATAAATATATTTATACAATTTGATACCAAAAAGATAAAACTTAATTTTATCGTTTGAAACATTACCTGTAAAACCCTTTAAAAATCACAAGTCAAATGGTCATTTTTAACTGTGGGACTTTTATGGCAGCTTCTGCGACGTCTTGGGATATGTCTACTCCAAGAGGGCATCTGCATGGAGACCAGAGGCCACATTTCGTTATACTTGCTTCGCCACCCACCACAACGTCTGCACATTACCAGCTTGGCGTCTGGACAATGGTGGAAGTAACGGGGAGTTGGCACAGGTGATGATGATCCCTACACAAACCAGGACGACGCACGACACTACCTCGTAAGAAACCCGAACTGTGAGGTGTATTTACAACTTCTCCTGCTCCAAAGTGCTGTAAATGAGTAAGTTTAAAACAAAACGAAGGCTGGGGATATATAGTTCAGTGGCCCAGAGGCAGGGTGTCTGTTTAAACACATGCAGAACCTTGAATTCTACAAACTATCAAACAGACAACAAAAAAGCAAGTGGAAAAATAACCCTTAAAGTGAACCATAAAACACAACAAAAGATGCCATAGTCCGTAGTCTTTCACCGAGGTCAAGATGAAAAGCGCATTTTAACACATAAGCCAAGCCTACATTGTTCATGTGTTTGCTGTCCCGCTGTTTCCATGACTTCTCAGAGTCCACAGTTGGTCTGTCCTTGCTCTTCCAGACTGAAAGCTCTTCCCCGCTCACCCGCCTTAACTATTCTTTCTCAGTAAACAAAGGGAAACCTCAAATTCCCCCTTTTCCATGACACTGCTCAAGGTAAGCCCTGACCCCAGCAGGATAAAGCCATCCGCTCCAGCCTCAACACTGCCACAAGGGGGCACAAGTGAGCAGCCAGTATCGTCTGATACTGGCTAAACTTTCAGACACTCCCCCCTAAACACTGGCCATCCACAGCCAGCATCAACAGTCCGCACAACAAGCACAACTCTCTGGAGCCGAGAAGTTCAAAGTAGGAAAAGAAATAACGTCCACATTTAATGATGTCAGATTAGGAAACATAATTGTCCTAAATTATCCCCTAACCTGAACAGAACGTGATAGCAAATTAAAAAACTGCTCTTAGAAATATGGGTTGAGAGAGGACGTAGGCTCACAGCAAACAGCTGCCTCCTGGCTTACTCCCATCGATTCCTGGAGGAGAACAGTTACAACATACCTGCATGTTATCTTCAGGGCTCCCCTAAGTTTGCTAATCCACTAACCACCCTTAGACAGTGCTATACACCACAAAAGTACAGCTCATGAAGAGGGGTTCCGTCCTGTTATTAAAAATATGTTATGTGTATGTGTGTGCCCAAGTGCATGCATGTAAACCATCTGCATTCGCGAGCCATGGAGGTCAGGGTGTTGGATCCCCTCAAACTGGAGGAAGGGTAGTTGTGAGCCGCATGTGGGTACTAGAAACAGACCGTAGGTCCTCTGTGAGAGCAGTGACCAATCTTAACTACCAAGCCATCTCTCCAGTCCTAAAATGTGTACTTTTCTGTACAAAATAAATAAGGCATCGACATTATTCATGGCCTATAGAAACAGGCCATGGCTCATATATGGTTTGGAAAAAAATTTATAATTTGATTCTGTAGCAGAAATATTTCATATCACCTATTTCTCAACTCCATCAATGAAAACCAGTAATTATCCCTTAAACTACCAACCAGAATATCAACAAAAACTTTTTATGTACAAAAAAAAAAAACAAAAACAAAAACAAAACACGCTCCAGGCTTTCTTTCTCTTTTATAAGGTCCAATTTGTGTAAACAGGATACATGATCTACGTACTTTGGCTCATACCGGAAGTTTTCTACGTCATGTAAAACGCCCAAGCCGGCACGCAATCTTTCAATCCCATTCCTGAAAAACAGTAATAAAACAAAGACAAAAATGACACCGAAACAAAAACCAACAGCCTCAGTATGGTGAGACGTTAATGGTTAAATACATGCTTAACAAAGAAACCCCATCCTGTGGCTTACCACGCGATCATAACGCCATTATCCGAGCACAGTCTTGGCGGAGGGCTCAGCGAAGTGCACTGCGTTGCGTTTGCTACAATTTCCAGAGCTCTTCGGATGTACGAGTTACTCGCAACACCTCCAGACACAACCTGGAAGAATAGGGAAGATGAGTAACAAATGCTGTCACACGGATAGGAAGCAAGCTGTTACTACATTGGGCGGGGGGTGATGGTTAGGGTGGGGGGTAGTGTTTGTGGGGGGGGGGGGGGGTAGGGGGGGGGGGGGGGGGGGGGGGGGGGGGGGGGGTGGGGGGGGGAGGTGGGGTGGGGGGGGACGACGACGATGACGACAAGCTTTATCCAACAAGAAACTATTTGGGGCTAACTAATGAGTATTTGCATAATAAAAATCTGGAGATACCAATCACAGGTTTTAGCCAGCACGTATTCGCTGCTAGCACTTTAAATATTTCCTTAGTATCAGTAATTATCTCGGCCACATTTGCAATCACAATCCATCAATATTTTAGACTGCATTTGCACTTTTGGTTTTGTCACTGAGCTACCCGGCTCTCACAAAACCATTATCTCTAACATCTGTTTTTAATATCCCATCTTGCCAACTGCCGAATTTAGACATTAACATTTTCAAAAATTTAAGACCTACTAAGTAGGAAGATTACCAAGTCGTATGAGCACGTGTAAAGGGATTTCACTAAAAGACGGAGTCTAGCAGCCTAGTTTTCTAAAAATAGGAACCACAGTGGCTACTCTGGTTTCTTTATGGCAAATCCTCTTCAAATTCAAAGAGAAAACGTAGCCTGGGATTTTGTTTTTCTACACAGGCGATGTTACGTCTACCTTCACGATGGCTACACATGGCTTTTCTTCTGTATTGTTCTACACTGTCCAGCAGGAGACACAAGGCCCTAAATCCAAAGCGACACGCTGGGAAGTGAGCCGCTGCCTGCTAGCGGGTGAGCGGGCGAAGCTTACTAATACTGCGTTCGCTGGCGGTAACAACCCTCTCTGCTGGCAAAACAGAATAGCGCGCTGCGTTCTCGTGGCAAGGTGGCGTGCGGTCACGTGCTGCACCGCAGCGGCAATGTCTGCGGCGGAAGACAGGATTTGCCCCTTCTCGATGCCTTCTTCCTTCTCCTTCCTTTGGATTAGCTTATCGATAACATGCTGAAGTCCCGTAAAAGAAAAATTGCAGTTCTTAGCATTCTGCATGGGAGGACTGAGGGTAAAATGGAATCGATCTCCTTCTTTGGCCAAATGTTCTATAGCCTTCCCACCGCTCATCGTAGAATATTCCGGACGATTGATTAAAGAAAGTCTTCTTGCCACCTATTAAAAACAAGCGAGAATATATTTTGATCATAAATTAATTAAAGAGAGATTACCCACTATGACCAAGTTAGCTTTAACCCAGGGATAAATGGTTTAAAATATGCGAGTCAATGCCTGTAATAAAGGACATTAAAAAGTATATTCTTAAATGTCTCACAGACTGCACATTTTGAAGTCATAGACATAAAGATAATGAATTCAAAGGTTACTTAAAATCCTGAATGAATACAGAGACTATGGCTAATTTCAGGCAAGGCTTTTCTTGAACAACCTGACCAGCAGCATCTAAGCATTGCCTCCCTAGTTTTTCTCTCCCCCCCCTGGGGTTGAAAAATCGATGAGGATGGTTATTTAACGATTAACTTTGAAAATAAGAATCTGTTCTTTCCCTCTGTCATTTCGGCTGTTTTGTGGAGGGCAGTAGGCTCCGTACTTCTAAAGAAACTCCGCTGTGATGTTGGCAATTACGCAGTAGATTCTGAATTCCGTGTTAGTCTTTGCTTTTCCCTCACAGGGTTTCACTATATCGCCCCCAGTTGGCCTGGAACTCACTCTGGAGACCAAGTAGACCTTGAACTCGCAGTGATCCACCTGCCTCTGCCTCCAAGGGCTGGAATTAAAAGTATGTACCACAATGCTCTGCTCTGCTCATAATATCTATATATCACGACCTTTTGGCAGCATGCCACAATGCTATAGCTTCCCAAACACTTTCACAAGAATATTTGGCTAAATATGTAACAATAACTACAAAGGACTTGAGTTTTTACATATAGATATAAAATTGGCATTTTATTAAATGGCTAAAAATGACAAAATTGAGAGGGACATGGCGGTGACTCACGCCTGTAATCCCATCACATGGAAGGCAAAAGCAGGAGGATCACCATGAGTTCTGACTCCAGCATGGGTTACAGAAAGGAACCCTATCTAAAAGAAGAAAAAAAAGTTATCACAACTCTTCACTTTTTTGTTTTTCTTCTCTACGTACTCTTGGCTATCCTGGAGCTCATCAAGTAGATCAGGCTGGCCTTGAACTCACAGAGATCCACAAATCTCTGCCTCCCAAGTGCTTGGATTAAAGGTCTGCACCACCATTCCAGGCCACAACTCTTGATCTTTGAGATAAGACCTTGCTGCATGGCCTAGGATCGCCTCAAACTCATTAAATAGTCAAAGTTGGCATCAAGTCTGTGGTTTACCCTGCTACCCATCCAGCTTTTTGCCGTGGTTTTTAAAAACCTTTTCAGTCAGGGGCATTGCTCAGAACTACCTAGATGACTGTATATGGCTATATAACTGGAAGAGCCAACAAAGTGACTTCTGAGACAGTACCTTGTCAAGCATGTCACCTGGTGCTATGTCCAAAGACTTCCCAAGAAGCAGGAAATCTGAAACACCGCGGACCAAGGCCAACAGGCAGTGACCTCCAGAAATCAAAAGAACTAGAAAAGGAAATTCTACTTGGTTGGTCAGTCGGATGGTAAGCGCATGAGCCTCCATGTGGTGGATAGGAATGAAGGGCTTTTTAAACTGGTTTACTAGCTGTAGGCTGAATGATAAGCCTACGCCCAGGCTCAGAGCCAGTCCTGGTTTGACGGTGGTTGCGATCGCCGAGAGGTCACGTGGCGAGACTCTGCCGGCTGAAAGGGCTTCTTCTACTATTCCCTCAATATTTTCTCTGTGAAGCTGTTGAGCTACTGGAGGAACAATTCCGCCTGTTCTGAAGGAAAAAGAAGGAAGACAGTCTTTAAAAAACTAGGAAAGAAGGAAGGTAAGTTATGTCTGAAGGCATTCTTGCAAATGAATCTCTGGGTTAGTATGTATGCTAATACTGTGTGCACATGAACCACTGGGTCAGTATGCATGCTAACACTGTGTGCACATGAACCGTTGGGTTAGTATGCATGCTAACACTGTGTGCACATGAACCGTTGGGTTAGTATGTATGCTAACACTGTGTGCACATGAACCGTTGGGTTAGTATGTATGCTAACACTGTGAGCTTTATAACGCAGGACTAGGAAGAGTTCAATATTGTTGCTGACTTCTTATTCTGTGTTCAAGACTGCTATGGTTTATTTCTGATGAAGTGAGGTCACCAGAACCACCTCATAAAGCATTCCAAAGAGGTCATGAGCAGAGGAAGGGCAGTCTAGAACTGTATTTAGCTCTGATTAATCTCCAAGGAGAGAATCTTAGAAATCAAAGCATGAGTTATTTGTCTAGAGTAACTTATATTCAAATGCATTAAAGACCACGAGGGGCCCTGGCATCAAAGAGGACTTATATTTTCTAGGAACTGCCGGGAGAAACTAGTATGAGCAGTAAGAAATATGAAGACAGGTTTATGAAGGTTTATTTTGAAACACACTGCACTAGAGGTCGGGCGAGGACAGGGGATAGCTTGCAATCCTAAAATAAAGTCTGGGAATCTAGTGTTGGGGTTAGCAGTGGAGAGCTCCAGCTGATGAGTGACAATGGATGATCACTCCAAACAGGGAGGGAGGGAAGAGTTAGCAGGGAGGGTTGGGAACGCAGCTCCAGGGGGAAGCACCTGTCTGAGACACTCAGGGCCTCACATTCAGTCTCCGGGATGAAAAACGTTGGGCAGAATGGGGCTAGCAACACATATAGTAACTTCTAACTGGCTTACAGGCTGGGATTCAGTTCCCCAAGTCTGTAAAATCCACCTCTGTCTCAAAACATCATTTTAAAATATTTGACATTGCAAGACCATGTGGGATGGTTTCTGTACATAGAAATAAAACTCTTCACAATATTCAATGACTATTTAATTATATTATCTATATATAATTTATATAAATATATATTTTACACATATATATTTTTTCAGGGAGTGAGGATGTACATAAATCAGTAAGTTCATTTTGTAACAAAATTTTAAAAGCTTATTTAAATACACTTATTTCTCTATTAGCAGCAAGAGCACTCAAGGCTCATTTGCAAAACGTCTAACATTTAATTTACGTTACATTTTTTAGATGACGTGTTTATTTATTTATGGGGGGGGGCCTGGTGCATGTGGAGATCAGATCAGCCGGAACCTTTACTAACATGTCACCCCAATGTTCCTTCAACATTCATGTTGACCTTGACACATTCATTTTGACCTAGTCTGCACCTCAATGCCTCTCGACTTTTCTAGCTGGGTCTTCCCTCTCTTGGAGACCGCGGCAGATTGTGATGCCAGAAGACCCTAGAGAGCAATCTGTCGTTGACTGTTACTTTCCAACTGAAAATATTTCCTGGCCGGGGATTTGAGAGAGTTTGAATTCCAGTCCCTTTCCTCCCGCTCACGTTTTCCTTGTCTTCTATCCGTTTCACGCCTTCCTTGGCATTTTACTTTCTAGAAATTATGCTAAGCGATAAAGAGAAACAATGAGAAAAACTACGGCCTTGTTCTCAGCTAACTAATGACAACATTCGCTAGGCATTTTATCTTGTACAGAGAATGCAGATGACTAATGAAGACGAAATCTGGAGTCTAGGCGAGGGACAATAGAGGATTAACTAAGTTAGTGAGGACGGAGAGAAGTATCCCAAGCCGTATTTTGAGGGTTAGGTTTAGCACCCCTGAACGGCTGACGTGGCTGTGAGCCGGTGAGGCCGCGAAGGTCTGGAAGAGGGGGATGCTCGTAAGCAGTGATTTTATCACCATGTCCCCCCCCCCCCATTGTCTCGCAGACCTGTTCACTGTCTCGATAGTAACGCGAGTGTCGCTATGGCCAGATTTTACTCGCCAAATACGGCAGCAGGTGTTCTAAAGGAATTCATATCGAAGACAACGCCATCATGATTTTATAGACAAGGAAGCGGGAAATATACTCGGTCTCCATGCACAGCGCTAAACTATAACGTGAACCTACACTTAGCTCGAGGCAGGCAGGCACAGCAGACAGTTTAGTAGCACCGTGGGATCCCCACCTGGTTTGGATGATGCCCACATCCTCCCTTGCGATGTACACCTGGCAGCCTAGTTACTTTGCCTGTACCCACTAGGCATACACACCCCTCTCCAAACAACGTGCTCAGCAACCTCTCCCTCCCCAGCCTGCACGGGGCTATCTGTACTCCTGTTTCTGAACACTGGTAGACATTCCTCTGGTCCTGTGGCAATCGAATTCAGACAGGTTTATTCAAATGTATCCCCCCAACATCCCAGAATAAGAACAGAAAGGCTGACCCGGCCTAACTAGTTTGGATGCATGTGCATAACCATGCCCTCTATTAACCATTTAGAGAGAATCTTCTATGTATTGTCTTATGCCTATGAATAACTGGGCACGCACATGATCAAAACAGCAACCTATGGAGGCCGACATACACAACAGGAAAAAAAATGAGTATATGATCTAATCTGTCAAACAAAATAAAGGAGCACCCGAATTCTGTTCCCAAGTAACCAAAACCTCCTTTGAACGCCAGGAAAGTAGTTCTGAGTAAGAATCAGGGCCTCTTAATCACGTGGCCGGCTGCCCATCGGGACAGTGGTTACATTTACAACCATTCACAACTGTCACTTTTGAGTCTTGTGTGAATCTGTGTGATCCCCTTTCAATTCTCTGAAAAAGATACCAAGAACCTGTAAATACCCACCCCGACCCCAACACAGCCGGTTTTTTGTTCGTTTGTTTAGAGACAACTACGGCGCACTGGCTAGCCTGGAACTCAGGTCCACCTTCCTCTGCCACGGAAGGAAGCATTGGTATTAAAGGCCTGTATCGCAAGGCGTGGCTCTATCTAGTGGCACTCAGCGGTTTTTACACAATAGTATAGGAATTCAACTATATCAAAATTTGACTTTTACACGTGATAAAGACAAAAGGATGGTTTTCGTTTTTCTTTTTCAAAAAAAAAAAAAAAAAGACAAAACAAAACAAAACTACCAGAAAAGCGGGAATGACCAAAATGGGCGCTACTCACTTCAAATGCACTTGGGTCTGGGAATACAAGGCTTCTCCCCACACGCGGCCAGCTTCATCCACCACGGCAGCGGCTGTGTCGTCACAGCTGGTTTCGATCCCCAGGACCAGCTTAGGAGGAGAAAGAACTCCAGGAGAAACACGAAGACTTCTAAAAAACCCTTACACGTTCCTCTTTGGTGGGTTGGCAAAAGCTCCTGCTGTCTTCCTGAATATCAGCATACTTACTACTCTACGGATAATCCCTGGAAAAGAATTACAGAAATATGATTGGGAACTATCATTCGCAATTAATTCATCTACTTAAACAAAACGACGAATAACTCATTTTTTTAAGTAGGCAGTCTTACAAAATTATTAGAGCGTTAGGAAAAGCTGTCAAAATCTTACAAAGGTCCTAGAAATTACTGAATATAAAACTAGGTCTTACAAAAGTGAGAAACATAAAAAATCATTAATATTCCAAGTTGAGCATCCCCTAAAGTTTAAAATCTAAAGCACTCTCCCCACCTGACTTGCTAGTGGAAATATAAGGAACACTAGAACTATGATATAAAATTGCCTTGGCCATATTTATAGGATGCAAACACCACTAAATATAAACACCCCCTAGCATATCGACAATGCAAAACGTGTGGGTCGAGCAAGACTGGGGTTAAGAAACAAAATGTGAACACCTCAACTGGGAAAGCGGACCAGCAGGGACCGGCATGCAGCGAACTACCCGCAGACGAATTGGATTTCCTCAGTTTGGGTACCACAGCTGGCTCGGAAGCGACGGAGTCCCTGTCGGCGGGGAGCTGGACCTGCTTTTAAAAGTCTGAGAGGCCGGGTTCGGGCAGCACCATTCACCTGTCGGAAACTGCAGCCGGAGCCCGGAGCTCCGGCCCCGGGAAGTGACGCCAGGGGGCGGCGCCGCGGCTCTCGGGGCGGCTGTGCTTCCTGGGGCTCCAGAGCGCCTTAGTAAAGAAATGCTTAAGGACTTGCCGAGACTTCCAGCTTGCCCTCTGGCGTTCCTCCAAGGTGTGCCAGCATCAAGACTTCTACAGGGTCACGCTGACGTGAAGAGGAGTCCGAATTTAGCTCTGATTGCACCGCGGTACATTTTAAGAAACGGCCCTGCCTTCGGTTAGTGTTGGTGCTACCGCGAGAGAAAGGATCAGGTACATCCTCACCCTATTTTAGGGAAAATATCACCCATAGTCCTCTGAGTCATTCCAATAAAACTCACTGGTCACCAAGCTGGACTTTGGTGGTGTCCGTACTTCGGTCTGTTGTGGGATTCCTACCAGGTGAGTAGATGTATGCATTTTATCTCCCGAGGAAAAGTTTTGTCGCATCATTACAAGAAAGAAGGGGGTGCAGGAGAGAAAGTAGTATGGATGGAGGAGACAGGGAAGCTTAGCAACTGGAGCCAGTATGTGTAACAACAGCGAGCTTGGTGGTTAAGGAACAGCAAGGTTTGCGCACATCCGGGCCCCTGTCAGGTAAGCACTCCTGACAAGTCCCAGAACATCTGTGAACGAGCTATTTTGGTGATGGATGGCCCAATAAATCCAAAGTGGCTGGAAAGGAAAATATGTAAGCATGAACCAATGCCAGAGAGTTAGGCAGGTTGGGAAAATGTGGAAGCATGAACCAATGCCAGAGAGTTAAGCAGGTTGGGAAAATGTGGAAGCATGAACCAATGCCAGAGAGTTAAGCAGGTTGGGAAAATGTGGAAGCATGAACCAATGCCAGAGAGTTAGGCAGGTTGGGAGTGTCAGAAGCACCATACAGAGGAGCAACCCTAGCTACCCATGCTAGGAATGGTTTGGCAAGGGGCAGTGATTGGACCTGGCATTAAAGACGTGACATGGGAGTGAGAGTCTGACTTACAAAACACAATTACCTGTCCATCATAGGTATAGTTTACTGTAATTGCAATTCCCTTACTTAAACTACTGATGCTCTTAATTAGTAGGTTCTAAGATATGAGATCTGACAAAGAAGACTTACCCAGAATTTGGCCAATGAGTTGCTTCTCCATAGCTGTAGTTGACAAGATCACACTTAATGATTTATAAGTTCTATCATCTATTAAAAGATTAAGAATCTAGTTTAGGAAGTCATTTGTAGAAACAGATTACCCAGTAAATAAGGTTTATAATACTACAGTGTCTAAACTAATTGTATCCTAATTTATAAGGTATTTCTAGGCATACTGTAATTAAAGTCAGAAGGTAACAAGAGAAAGAATTACTAAAGCATCAATTAAAAGTGATACTATTCTCTTTGGAATGCGGGAATCATAGAAGGAAATGGGAGAGGCATTGATTCTGAATAGATTTAAAGGCACGTAAGTTACACGACAAAGTGAATCACAGAGAATATTAAATTTACAAAGGGTTTAATTTCCTTTTAGAGTATTGGATATATATATATATCTGACTATGAATGAGTGATTGACATTCTCCTTCCCTCACACAACGCTGTAAGCTGGCCCTAGTTTCTTACCAATACCTCATTTCCTTGGGCTGAGTTACTGCCCAAGTTTCATTGTACTGCCATCAACTTCTAAGCTGCCAAGCCTGCCTGTCGAGCCTCTCAGAGAAAGAGCAAGCACATTAGACAGAGGCATCCCTTACCGGAGTTCTGCACTTCAAGACGGCCAGCCTATGAAGGACCAGGACTTGGCCCTCCGCTGTAAATACCTCTCATTTCTCGCATCATCACAGAAGCCGTGCGGCCGGCTCGCTAACTACGCCTCCCTTACTGGAAACACAGCAGCTCTACGAGCTTCGTTCAGTTGCAGAAACATTTCAACACTTAATTCCAGAGATCCGAACACCACGCAGCTAAGGGCGTTTGGGGATAAAGTACACTCAGGAGAGAAGCTGTGTTAAGGATGGAGTGAGTTAGATCATACTTCGCGCCGCTTCCGGAAGCCTGCCAAGCCGCGCCCACCCGCAGCCCATTGGCTGCCCGACGCGCTAATCCCCACGCCCCGCGGTGGGCGGGGCCGAGAGGCGCGCGGGCGCCCGTCCCGCTGAGCGCACGCACGCGCACGCGCGCTGCGGATGGTGGCGGGGACGTCTCGCAGAGTGGACCCCACGGCTCGGCGTCTGTCTGCTGCTGGCTGCACGTCGCGGAGGGTGGTGAGTGCCTCACTTCGCGCGAGCTCGAAGGTAGTGTCACGGCGATCGGGCACGCCCGGTGATGCTCGTGGGGGGCTGGAGCCGCCTCCCGGGGCCAGGGGCGGGCCAGGCGCGCGCGTGTGTGTCAAGCCCTCGGGGCTGCAAGGCAGTTGTGGGAGCTCATTACTCAGACTCTTGGACTGCAAGACTAAAAAAGTTGGTCTTGTTAGAGAGTGTAGCGGCTTGTAATGCTGGGTCTTGTCTCAAAGTCTATCGATGTCTGTTTATCCCTGATGAAAAGTCACGTGTAGTACCACCCTGAAGAAATACGGATACCAGAAGTTCATCTCATTGAGGAAGGAGAAGAAAAGACTTGATCAATCAACCCAGTTTCGTTCCGAATCATCTTTGAAATGACATTTTCTTCGCCTTGATGCTTTGTATTTATAAAAGTTTGCGATAATTTATTTAAGAAATAGCCCTGGGAAAGCTTTTAAAGTTGGCAGAAGGCTTTGCACGTATGTGTAGTGTCTAGAATTTGTTTGGGGTCTGTGGAGCAGTTGGATTGTGCTTCAGATGTGTTGTTTTCTCCCTAAGTTCCCGATCTCTTTCTTTTTGTAGATGCATCATGATGTGGGTACCAGGAGGTACACTGGGCTGGGGG